AAGTGTAAACAACGGTAAGTTATTGTGATAACTCAGCATTTTATCCATCCATTTTTGGTTAGTTATGCTAGCGTGGGAATTTTTTTTAGTCCCATGGGAATTCCCATATTTCCCATGGGCATGTACGCTGGGCCGAAGATTCTGGGGTGCCCATGGGAAATGTCAAGGTCTAAACCTCGTATAGCCTAGCATCCTATAGCTTAACTGGGGTCACTACACCCGAGGGCTTTAAGGCCGAGACCCCCAGCCTTGCCCAAAAATCACAGTTTATGTCTTTTCCATGGGTTGAAACCCCACGGGGAACCTAGGAGACAGAAATCAAGAATGGAACTAAAGGCGGTTCTGTGGGAAATCCTCGGAGATACTCTTAATGAATAGCTTCTATAGTATATCAGACTGATATAAAAGTGTAGTTCCCTATAGGGAGATTTACGAGTCACGAATATAGGTAAACGCTAGGAAACTTAGAGAAACTCTAGAAGTTAAACTTGCTATCCGGGGACACCTCGGCGAAACTCGCCTTCTCTAGTATATCGCCGCTCCGATAAGTATCAATATCTACGCTTTTAAACACTAAAGACTAGCCCTTCAATCTGACTATATATTATTCTAACTTTTATTTACAATATGATAAGTACGTCAATGTCCGGAGAAACCTCGCATAGCCTAGCATCCTATAGCTCAACTAGGGTCACTACACCCGAGGGCTTCAAGGCCGAGACCCCCAGCCTTGCCCAAAAATCTATGAGATGGCGTTCATCTTTTCACTTGATGCCTCAAAGGGGATGGATGAATGACCCATGCGCACCTGGATATGATCCCTCGACTGAATTGTACTATGTCTCTTTTCAGTGGAACCCCAATGGTCCTGACTGGGGTGATATTGCTTGGGGAACTGCGACTTCGCATGATCTGATTTCATGGAAAGTCGACGATCAGCCTGTCCTCTCGCCAGACAAGAGCTACGACTACAAGGGTGTCTTCACCGGGTGTTTTGTCAAGGCACAGGATGAGACTCTCAACTACATCTATACCTCAGTCAGTGCCCTCCCAATCCACCACACCATCCCGCACAAAAGAGGCTGCGAGACATTAAGCATTGCGACATCTTCAGATCAGGGCAAAACCTGGTACAAAAGTGACAAGAATCCCATCCTGCCGGGCGAACCTTCCGGTCTCGATGTCACTGGCTGGAGAGATCCGTTCTGTGCTCCATGGCCCAACATGAGCAAGACCTTGGGGCTGGAATCAAAGGAGTCTCTGTTCGGTATCATCTCAGGGGGCATCAGGGATATCACTCCCACAAGCTTTCTCTACAAGGTCGATCCGAAGAACTTGAGTGACTGGAAGTACATCGGCCCTCTCGCAAACCTTGGTCTGAATTTCAGACTGTCAAGGTGGTCTGGTGATCTGGGCAAGAACTGGGAGGTTACGAACTTCCTGTCGCTGCATGACGAGAATGATCCCAACTCAACCTTTGACTTTCTCATCATGGGAGCTGAGGGATGCCTCGAGGATGGCCTCGAAGAATCCCCGAGCAGTGCAGGTCCATCACATCCAAGCCGTGGCCAGCTTTGGATGTCCGGCAACCTTCGGAAAGACGAAGCTACTGGCTCTGCAAGTATTTCATATGACTTTGGAGGCCACCTTGACCATGGCTGCCTGTATGCTGCGAACTCTTTCTTCGATCCGCGAAGCCAGAAACACATTGTCTGGGGTTGGATCACAGAAGAAGACCTGTGCGATGATCTCCGTCATCAGCAAGGTTGGAGTGGAATGTTGTCAATGCCTCGCCAGCTCTATTTGCAGACTCTGCACAACGTAGTGGGCTCATTAGTCTCTGACTTGTCCTCTATCACTTCTGTCAAACTCCAGTCCGAGGCTGACGGAGCTTTCGCTATCCAGACCCTTGCCAGCGAACCCTATCAGCCTTTGATTCAACATCTCCGAAGCTCTTTGGACGCGCAGCTCACACATTTGGGTAGATCATCCCTTGGCGTTAGTGTCAACCAGCTGGAGTTCTCGCCAGAGAACCTGCAGAGTAAGCACTGGGAACTTGAGTGCTCGTTCAAGGTCTCGAAAACTTGCTCCAAGGTCGGGCTGTCGATCGGTCATTCAAGGGGTGAGAAGTCATCAGAGAGTCATCGTGCAGGTCATAAACTGAGACATTTACAGGCTATGAAAACGCAACGCTAATGATATTCGAGCCGCAAAACGAAACTTTCACGATTTCTCGGCCATCCCTTTCCACATCTGATTCATCTCTGTGGATCAGAAGCTCGCCTGAAGCAGCACCACATACATTGTTCACAGTTCGCAACCCCAGCAGTGGAGAAGAGTATACGGAAACTTTGGATATTCGCGCATGGCGGGATAACTCCGTTCTTGAGGTATTCGTCAATGGTCGCACCGCGATCTCCACTCGCCTTTATGCGGCTGAGGAAACATTCGGTATGCGATTCTTCGCAGAAGATGAAGCCTCAAGCACCGAGGTACTACGGACCAGTCACACTGGTTCGACAGAGTTGCAATTTGCAAATTTGTGGGATGGAATTGGGAACTAGATGGACATTGAACTCCTTAATGTGGTGACTATCTTAAATTCCTTCTTGGGGTGCTCTATATAATCGTAGAATCCCTTATAAGTGCTTTAGGAACAATAGTAACTAACTATAGAGGGGCATTAGTAAGCCCTGGAGGTAGGAATGTATTAACTAACTACCTAGGTAGATTGGCAGAGTGTCAGATTCCAGCCCTGAAAGTCAAGCGTCCAAGTCGTTTCGGGGTCATTATTTTAAAATATTATTTCTTTTTTCTTGTAATATACTATCATACGTAGTAGTCTGGGTAGGGGATTGCTAAGGACACCCCAACTTTTTACTAGTTAGTTAACGACACCACAAAAAATCAGTATGGGAGGGGAAGGACATGTCACCAGGGCCATGCAGGATATTCAAGTGTGAAATAGTGGTTCAGGGCATTCAGGTGAACGGGCTGAAGGGGCTGAAGAGTAGGGCGGCAAGAGGGAGTTTCCGAACAAAAAATCGCAAAAACATACAACAGCATGTCTAAGGTGGTGGTCACCTAGCGCCCACGGTTCGGGCATGGGCGGCTCGCCGCTCTATTCAGGGCACTCAGGGCGGATATTCACCCACCTGAATATTCCTCACCCGAATATTCAGCCCGTACAGCAAAAGGTACATTTCCCATCATGACCAAAAAAGCTACAAGTATCCTTCTTTTCCCCTCCGTTTTCATCTCCAGCCTCGCTTTATCACTCCAACCTCGCTTCATCACTGCAACCTCGCTTTGTCACGAGCAAGATGCGTGCCAAGCATGACCCAACGTTGAAATATATGGCCAATGTTGTGGATTTCGGGGAGCATAGTAACAATGAAATCCAGCGGGCAGTGCTGCCACGAACAGAATCTGGTTACAGTAACAAGTTACTTATTTTCGACGAGTAAGTCTCAGCCCTAGGAGCAGAGAGGCGAGTCGCTAAATTGTGCCTCTAGTTTTGTCAAATTACATCCACAGGCCGTCATTCCGCCGGACATCAGAACTTGCAGGGCTTTTCTCGAGTGGGTTGCAAGAGGAATGGACGGTCGGATCGAAGAAAGGCCTACAGTCGAGACGATTCAGGGATTTTTTAGGAAATTCGCCACTGGCATGAAGAGAAAAAGAAACTTTGAATTCCCACCAGCCACTAGAACTACAATCAATGAGGTCTGTACTAGCGTCATTTCAAATAGATCATGGCTAATACTAGATAGTATATCGTGGGAGAACTAAAGATCAAGATCCCTCTCTCAACTGGGCAAATGAACAAAGATGGCGGTGTATCCCCAAATGATTTGACTATCTTAATGACTCAATTATGGTGTCGAGACCACCATGAGTATCGTGGAGCCCCTGCCGATCGGGCCAGAGTCCAGCTGAGTGCCGCAATGCTCCTATATTGCTTTACCTCTGCACGCACAGGGGAGGTTCACGAATCAACCGCTCGGAGACACGGAGCCCGGGAGATCGAGGGGGATAGCGAGGATGTTGACTTAGAATCCCGCGTGATGGCTGCCTGTTATAAGGTGTGTTCAGACAAGGAAAAAGAAGCCAATGCTTGAAGCTGACTACATCAGCACTTTGAACTCACCATCGAGTCCGTAGATGGTATGATAATACTTGTGCTCACCTACGAGCGTGAATTTGTTAAAGGATATTGGCGAAAGACAAAGTGGGAGATTCCCAAGCACGCATTCTACGAAGTATACGCTGAGGACGTACCTATATTTCTAAACCTTTTGACATTTTTTTTACCAATGGCCACTACAGACAAAGCTTTCAGAGATTACGGTTCTGTGAGCGAGATCCTAGATGCTATCGATATGTATAAGCAAGCCGGTCCTTCAGAGGATAAGATCCTTGCGGTGATTCATGTCCGGGAAGAGATGAGAAACCTGCCGGTTTTTCGCCAATATCTTGAGCATAATGTGGACAATTTCAAAGGCCATACTAGGGGAGCGGATTCCTTCGGCAAGGCCTTGGTCAATCTAGGACATAGAAGTGGCTACACGCTGAATATTACTGTTCGGGCGTGTCGAAGATGGGCTTTACAGCAAGCAGGTACGGATTCATTTCAAGTATAGGCTCACGGGCTAGCTGATGATAAAATAGACAAGACGTATTCCGAGTCTGCAAGAATGAAGTTCGCTAGGCAAACCAACCGGGACACATACGGAAAGTCATACGCGCATCCTCTTAGTGAGGTTGATAGACCAGCAAACTATCTCGGAATTGCCAGCCGACAAGAACATATCCAGAATCGTCGGGGAATGGGTCTTTACCGAAATTCCTCTTTATCGCAGCTCCTTCCTGCGAAAGCTGAGTATGAATTTCTTGCCCGAGAAGATGTTTACGCTCTTGACCAAATCATGGCAAAGTTGAGTTTGCTGCTCTCAGACGCCACGCCGGAAGAAAAACACAAAATCCAACTCAAATAAAAGAGGGTCTATAATGAGAAACGGAGCCTTTATAATGAAGAGCTCCGAAAGGTCCAAGCGCAATCAGGGAGGCAGCATAGAAGTATTTACACTAAAACCATATTCCACTACAGGAGAAAGGTAATGCCTCATAGAGACTTCTTGGCTAGCACATTGCCTCGTAGTCTCAGCCTCCGGAGTTTAGATAGAAGAAGAACTCTGCAGGCGTTGGAGTCTCTCTGTAGCGAGACAGACACGATTTCATACCGCGATAGCCTCAGCCCTCTGGGCCAGGCCTGTCTCTGTGGGAGGTCCATCGAAGAGTATGTCGTGCTTCAATGGGAAGATATGATTTTCCTATTACTAACTTAAAATAGGTTCAAGGATCACCGAAAATGGTTACATCTCTACCGTTGCTACTCGAGGCATTACAAATCCACCCACGGATTTGCGCAAATATGCTTTGAATGCGACTTATGGTTTACCAATGAATCAGAATGGGAGCATCATTGCCAGGAGCATCTTGATAATCCAGGCGATTTGCTCCGTTGCGATCCTATGATCTTTCGGAACGCACCTATAAAGCCAGGGCTATGTCCGTTTTGCCTGGGTGCCAAGACAAAGAAACCGTCAAAGAGAATGTCTCAATTCGTCCTCTCACCGCCAAAGTGGCACTCCCATATTGAAGATCATTTGAAAGAACTCAAATTTGATTTCGACTGCAAGCATCCAGCCTGCTCCACAACCTTTAGAAGCCTAGAGGAGCTTACCTACCATCTCGTTGACACGCATTGTTGGCACCCTAGGCGGCAATCGCCCAAGAAACGAAAGTGGGCAGACATTAAATTTTGAGGCATGTCGAATACCAAAGTGGAATACATGGTTGAGACAGGGTATACTACCCAGGAAATCATGTAACCGATGGTACGAAGCATACCATACAACAGTGCATATTACAGTTAGCCATCATGTCCGCACAGATTGTTAGTTAAATATCGCGGTTTTGTCATTTCAGTTAGTTGGTGTTCAATACCACTGAGGTTATCCATTCATTATTGTACCGCCAGATTTCTCTCAAGGCGCACAGATTTAACATCCTGGGTCTTTACCATTAATGCACCCAATTCGTGCCAGGTGGTAATTATCTAATCGCCGCATAGCCTCGATCCCTCCTCTTTTATTCAAGCTCTCTGCCCTGCCCGCTATTGTACGTCCTAAACCTAGTGTCACCACCTACACTCTTCGATTGTATTCCGAACCCTAATGCCAAGATCGGCTAGCCTCCTTCCACATAGCTTCAGAATATGCATTCGGGTACTGGTCGAGAAACAAACCGTATATGTCTAGAGGGCAATCCTTTTTGACTTCACTATACATGAACTGGTACTCAAGCTATTGTCCACCTCAATTATGGGCAGAACTTTGATTTGAATGCCAAGAAAATCCTAGATCCCTGTGTATTCAGTATCCCTGAACAAGATAATTGACGGCGTCTTGGTCTGTTGGCAAGTTTTGGATCTCCCGGATCAACGATGATATCTCCTCCGGCGCTCCAGAGCGCAGTTTGGCAGCCATTCGGCAAAGGGCGACACGGAAATGGTTTCTTTGCTACGAGAATTATACAGCTTTTTAATTTAATAGATATCGTCTTGATATGAACAATTGGTATACTAGATGCTCCCGGGAATGCTCTGTCTATTTCTTTGAGTCCATTTTCAATGAAGCCAAATCCGCAATACAAACCCATAGCATAATGCCGTTATTCTTCTCACTTCCCCTTAATACACAGCCAAGCCCCTCAAAATCATCCATATTATATCCTAATCGCTATGGTCTCCCATGGATAGATTGCTGTCATCCTCGGGACCACTAGAGTCATCAATAACATGGAAAAGTATGGCGTTCCGTTCGTCATGCCACCTTACCATCGCTAGAATATGGCATAGCGCTGACTTTCTTCCCCCAGGCGACTGAAGATTGAACCATTTACTACTGTGCATATAGATGAATGTGTCTCTATCTTCGTCGTCGACCAGAATTGTCTGGGTCATCTCGTCTATAGTATCGACGTATTCGCCATAATCAGAGCCGAATTTGAAATGAATAAAGCGCAGGAAGGTATTCGTCACCGCGAGGAGGAAGATACTATAGACGGAACCACACGTCAACAATTGCAAAAGAAGAGCAAACTGCTCCCAAAAAAGCTATGGTAGATTTACTCTTGGCCCAGGCACTCTCGGTTTGCTCTCCATAATATCACCGCTTCGCCGAGGTACTAAGCCAGAGTCTCATTTACCATTACCGGCTTATGGTCTCCCGTCCGCTCGTCGAAGTGGATATATCTAAACGCTCTCTTCGCCTTAATGAAGGCCAAGTATGGGTGTCCCATCATCCAACCGTGGGTGTGCCAGTCCATTCTACAGATTCCACCATCACCTTCAGCGTCAACATCGTGAATTCCAGCAACGCGAATAGTGGATTTTAGGCGTTCGACCCGCGGTCGCACCCCTCGGTCTCCTTCATCCTATAATAGGCAGAGGTTCAAAGCGAATTAAAGAAAAGATATCAAGAAGTGCACCGTGACTTCCTCGGGTTTGCTTCGCCGAGCGTTACGCTCATCCTCGTCAACATCATTAAGGTCAACGTCAAATTCGGATAAAGTGAGGTTCACGGGAGAGGAGGACCCTAGAATGGCAGATATGGAATCAATAAAACCATCTTTTTATAGAGGTCGTCGTTCGCGCTAAGGATATAGCCGTGCCTTAGTGACAATTTCAGAGCGGGTTACTCGTGCGAGTGCGACCCAGAAAAAGCCACCTAGTAAGCGTAGAAGCTTAGAGTCGGTGCTTTTCGGAAAGTTAGTTAGATAAATTAATATAAGGAGTTCTCTAATAATAGTCAATATTTTACGAACTTGGTCTTTTAGGATTATATAGCGGGCAGTGATTCTCGTGATCAGTTACAAAAGCCTCCAGAAAGGGCCTTTCTAGGAGGGTAAGTAGTCGAAAGCCAAGCAAATGTCGAAATGACTATCTGCTAGCAGAACGCATTAATTCGTCATCCCTTAGCTGGGCAATAAGTCGTAAGCCCCTATGTTCCTTAGATAGTCGCCTAAATTCGGCTGGGCTTCGAGCTGTATAAACCGGGACAGTTATGCTGAACGATATAATAGATATAGCGTCAGCTCATTTCTTAAACGAATACGATTTTAAGTGTTCGAAAGAGGAATATACATTTACGCCCTTAGATTTAATAGTCATTCGATCTTTTATACCACTGCTAAGTAACACTGAGGGGTAAACTAGTTTGATAAGATAAGAAAGCATATTACGAGGCTGGGACCACCGTGACTATGTTATGGCTGTGGCTGACTGTCTGTATAGTGGGCCGATTTAGTCGGAGATAACTACGCGTCAACAAAACGTCGACTCAACAGCAGCCACTACCACCGAACTGTCGCGCACTTCCGGGGAATTATCTCGATGAAATGTCAGATTTGGCTTCTTCAATAAAGGGATCCAAGCGAAAGGCCCGAAATGATCTCGCAAGTCCTCCAGCGCAGCGACCTCGTCCCTCCTAATCCGAGTCTCTCTCTACCACGTACCCATAGACAACAGTCAGGAGGCTAGCCTAACCAGGTTTAATCTAGGCCATTATTCGTGATTATTGCGGGGTACGCTTATATGTCCCACCGATAGCATGGACCTCGGACTAACTACGACTTCTGACGTGTCAATTCCACCTCTAGAATGGGAGGAAAGGGAACAAACAAGCACAACCAGTATCGCAAGACATTAGTTTCCATAACGATGGAAGTAGGGCGGCAGATGGCGCTGCCCTGAGAAAGTCAAGTGGGTGGCGATACAGTCACGCCATACGCGCTGCAACTCAGCTAGCACAGTTAAGCACCTTGGTGTCTAAGAAGTCCGCTGTTAAAGGCATACTTGATGCTTACAATATTCATATTTCAGAGTAACTACCCCATGTCCCGCGACATTGATGGCGCTGACAAGGTTATAGCTCTAAATTCTTGCCTTTTTACTTTAATCGCTGGGCTGCTGTAAAGCTCCCAACGGAGGGTGTTTTCTCGAGCAACTCCGTGACTCTAAGCCTTGCCTATATCACGTTTGATAAGATACAGTCACTTCGTAGGAAACATGTATACACGCCATCCTATAAAATAGTTAATACACCCGTACTTCGTGTCAGACAGAAAAGGCTGGATTCTCTTGTACCCCAAAACCTCGCCGAAGACCCATACATCGTGACCATACTGATTGCTTTAGCCCAGGAGCAACGGCGGCGACAGCAGGAGCAGCAGCAAGGATCGCCAGGACAAGGTGCCAAAGTCATAACAAAATATCAGGCTAGTCACATGGATGCAGATACCACATTAAGTGTTGCAAAATCGAGTACGGCTCGCTCGTCCTGTCCAAGTACAGAGCAAATGAATCGGAGTACAGCAAATTCTTTCAAGGTATGTTCTACACACTCTCGGATTGGTGCACTATTTTATTCAACCTAAATAGGTCCAGGTCCTAGCCGTTCCTGGAATAGCGGCCGATGCCTTTTACGTCTACACCGCCGACATCCCCTCTGGTTTTCTCAACAAGTTTGATGAGCCGTCGCACTACTCGCCAAGCCCCCCGGTTGCAATAACATATTGTCGTGTCCCTCTGGCAAGCTCAAATATGTTACGGAAGTTACACCGGCTGCTCTGCGCTACCTCGTGCAGCTTTTGTTGTAGTAACAAGGAACAAGATTTTCGTGCCGCATGCTGAGACCAGGCAGGAAGCTAGCCATGCCGGGGCAGTGACAGATCAAGAAGAACCTCCACTCTGATGTTGAACCACGCGTATGGTTCCTTATTAGCTGAACCAATCGGCTGGAACAAATAAGAAGATCTCCCATTTCACATGATATGGGTAGATATGCCAGGGTCCAATTATGCAACGATTATTGAACGATATGGCGGCATTTTGAGCTCAAAGCAAATCGTATCCGATCCCTTCAGGTCCCCTCATACCGCCACTAGGGATGAACGTCATTTTCATCTTCGGTTTGCCGAGCTGCTTCAACCCCGTGTTAGGCGTGCACTTCGAGGAGCTCGCACCAGCCCCGGCAGCTAAGCCTTGTGCCAATCACTTTTGACGGCGGAAGCAGCGTGCGTCGACCAGTTTCGACCGGACACTGCCTTCGTCACTCTTGGGGGCACCTACGCCGACAGCACGAACCGAGCCCCAGAAGACATGAAGGTCTCATGGAAATGGCGTTCTGACTACCGGCATTCGCAGAGACCCTTCTTTCAAGAAATACAAGCAGGTCCTGTCGTAGGTGAATTTCTATGTAGGCCAGCACAAAGCGCGCCTTGGCTTTGTGCTTACCAACACCGAGCTGGTTGGGGCCAAACGTCTCGATACAAACGGCCGGTCAGTTATCTCTTTAGCGATTCCCTGGTCAGCTGGAGGCCATGGTCAGCTCACTGTGCTGATGGGCATATGGTATCTAGGGATGCTTGCAGCCGAAGGAATCAACTGGACCCTGTAATCCAGCTGCATCTATTAGGCCATGGTCAATATCAACTTGGAAGTCACCCATCCTTTAGTTTCTGCTTTTGGACTGTGTTCACAGAATAACAGCTATAAAAATAACCGAAGTAGTGGAGAGTACTTGCATTACAGTACGTCTCGAAAATGGTGCGACCATTCTTCAATTGTTTCCCGAAAGCTGCTACTAGTACGTATTGAAAATTTTCCGTCGTACCCTGCTAGTGGGGCTTATATCGTTTCTTACGGAGAGTACGTTCTTTGTCTTCCACTTATACGGCGCATATATATTTACCGCAATCAAAATGTCAGCTCGACTATCGGCCCGAGCTGACTGTCCTAGCAAAACTCTAGACAAACACCGGCCAAATAGGCAGCCTTTCGGTAGCCGATGGCATAGGTCTCAATTAAAAGCGCTAAAGTCCATTGTCATAGTAGGCCCAAAAACGTGAGCTCCAGTCCTCTCACTATCCTTGATTATTATGGCGTCTAACAAAATGAACTGTTTGATGTGTCGGACGATACATTATCTTATGCCACAGCACCTAGCAATCGCTGTTGTTCACCAGCCTCGCCATCCAACATAGATAAGCTGTACGAGACATCGGTCCTACACCTCCTATCGAGAACGGCCCTCTATAACAAACTTCCTCGCAGAAGAATTGCCTGCTCTAATTCGGGGAGGTACTGTAAGTCGGTCAAAAGATGAAGAATCTCGTCAAAAAGATCGATCCACGACTGCGACGAACATGGCGGGGGCAGCCAGGAAATGCGGTAGATATCAGCTCTAAGGTAAAACTTTGATTTTCCTATTCGCTCTCTATCCCTTCAGCCAGAACGAACCATTCTTTGATCTTATTAACTAGTATCGGTAATAGTTCACTTTAGTTCTTCCTTAGCTAAACATTGCCGTCTGCCCTAATCCTCTCATCTCACTCATCCTTATATTGTCCCCTGTCAACATGGAAGTTTTCGCGGTTCCGGAATTAGTGGAAGAGGAAATATGCAATCAGCTGTCGGATGGTGCGAAAACCCTTCTATAATTCCCCGCGAACGACTATTTGTCGGATCAGAATTGTGGACAGAGACAAACAGTTCTGCGTGGTTCTGACTTACAAGGAGTACCTCTCATTGTTATACAATGCCTAACAGATCTTCTGCTGTTCTTCCTTATCACGCTCAGAGCGAAAGCTGACGGCATTGAAAAGCATCTCACTAAAATCATATTCTTGAAAGAATAGACTGGCAAATTCCAGCGGTCTCGGATAAAATCCTGCTGATGCCCAGTCCAGTAAACAGACACCACCATCATCCAACCAGATAATGTTTCGGGGGGCTATATCTAAATGACAGAGCACCAATTGGCTAGGATCAAAATGAACCTTACCATCTCCGGGAAAAAGCCGGCTGTTAAACCACTCCTCCACTTGCTGGACACTGCTAATGGTCAGATCATTTGTATCTGGCCAGAGCAAGCCAATCGACGGGCCACCACACAGGCTACCAGCTCTATCAGCGGTAATAGAGCGAAAATACTCGAGAATGCCGGCGAGTCTTTGAATATGAAAGTCTGAAAGAGGATCGATAGTTTTGCCCGGAATAAAATCCGATACCATGTAGCCCCAACCCCCATCGTCCACAAAAAAGCTATGAACCCAAGGGACTGTGACGATATGCCGATCAATGATCTCGTACGCGTTTTGTTGATTCTTTGCCTCATAGGAGGAGACATACGGGCCGAACTTAACGACTAAGTCACAATCTGGTAGCTTAACGACCTGGTTGCCAGACCTCAAGCCTCTAATAAGTTGATCCTCTAGACAAGAACGGCAATACTTAATGATCGACTAGCGATTATTTAATTCAACAAACATGGTGGTAGTAAGACATTAAAAGGAGAGGCAGTCGGAGAGGGTAAGAAAGGGATAGCAAATGATAGTCTCGGTCGCCTATAATGCAATAATATACCGCTTCCGGGTAATAAATAATCCGAAGCCGCCCACCCCTCCACATTAACAGACAGCTAAGCGACTTCGTTGTACTAGCTTGCCTCCTCCATTCCTTCTTTATTCTAATCAATTTAAATCACGAAAACATAGTAAATCTAAATCCGAATCAAGTGCTAGCAGATACTCGGCGTGTTAGTTGCATAAGAGTTGTGGTTCACGCCGGTGCTGCAACAGATAGGTCGGACAATCATTGGTCACTATACCTTCTCCTTTAGCACGGTGGATTAGTGCGTGTGAATATAGTGACAGATTATAGAGATATAGATAGGCGCCTTAAATGGTCAGATCTCGCATATCTTCTCACAAATTCGGCAATACAGCACTAGGACTTTCCGGTTACTTTAGCTATTGAGGTTCGATATGTCGCCGATACTATTTATCGAAATTCCCGTCACCAATATCAATTCTCTGGTGGAGGATCTGGCTGTCGTTTCTGGGTGCGAGTATAAATCTACCTTAAGTTGATAAGTTATCGCGATTAATATTAAGATAGTCGCACGATCGTCCGCGACATTGAGAGCCGTAACTATATTGCCGCGGAAACATCAAATGAGTTATGGCGACACCTACAATACCTATACAGCCGGGGCAAGGAACCTTTGCAAATCAATTGGGTCCAGGGGGCATTTTATTAATCTTTAATAATGTCATTCATGTCTTATATATAGACACTCAAGCCACTGGTCTAGATTAGAGGGACTAATGAAAGCTCTTAGCTCATCCAGGGATCTTTCTTTCTATAAGGTCTCGAGGTGCACGAGTCTTACCAAGCTAGTCAAGTGATACAGTGTCACCTGCCACTTTGCGTTCTCTAGGACTTATGGATACCACGAGCAGGCCAAGCTTCCACTTTTTCAACAGATGATTTAGGAGGTAAGACTTTAAGTTCATCTTCATAATGTCGTCAATTCTAGATGTACATGTATGGAGATATAGTTGTAGGCTTTATATCGCTTTGGCAAGGGGTCAGAGTCAATGGTAGACAAAATATATGTAAATAACAGTATTTCACAAGATAAGTAAGCATTTGATACATCCAAAATAGGTAATTTTTAGCAAGTTATGCAGCTGCAGCACCATATCGATACTACTATGAGGTACTGCAGTACCGATAACAGTACCGAAATTTGCTTGGTACTGCAGTACTTGTCAAGGTCTAGATATCGTTGTCTTAGACCAAGAGTGTTACGACGGAGAGCACGAATAGAGTAATGCTCTCTCAAACAGCCACATACGACGGAAAGGGGAAGATAAAGCTCTAGCGCCTATATCAAGGTGGCATCTCGGATAACTTACTAAAGCTACAGCGACGTCCTATACTCTTCTAATGACAATTGGCACACGAGGCATATAGCTCGTCCTCGACGACCACACACGTAGCAACGGCCCGGCGCCGCAGTGCTCGCACTCCTCCTCCACGTCATCTCTAACAATCTGGGCCACCAGGGCTTCAACTTAACCGTTATATTTCCCGTTTTCACGTGTAGGTCGGCTTCCACAATCTTCCGTGTACGAATCTCCCGTCCAGCCATGAGTCGTTAGAGGATCTATACCGTCGTGCACCTGACCACCATTCTCTGTAGAATAAAACTTTCCAGGAGGTGAAGCATGAGTAGAGCCTCTAATGCTGGCTAACGGGAATTGAAGATCGACAATATTCACTAATCCTGTCATTTCATACGCTACGAGCCCAAAAAGGTCTGTGACGATACTTCCTTCTACACAGACTAAAGTGGCAAACATCAATTCCAAACCCAACAGAGGGGGGCTTTCCACTAACTAGCAATCAACCCCTTTCTTTTATCCTTAAAAAAGTCATTAGGTATAGCATCCTTCGCATTCATAGCAGAGTAGAGCCTAAAAATTCTCCCGTGATTACTATTCCACTTCTCGTGAGTGTCCTAAACAGGTTAGGCGGATGGTATATACAGCGCGAAATGAAGGTTCTAGGGTTTTTAGCAGAACAATTCAAATTATCATGGTTTCAACGTACATAAGACCTATTATCCTTCCGAAGGAGCTCATCTATCTAGTCATATATCCAGTCGAAATTTGCTTTTCTTTCGTCAGAATCTGAAAAGAGAGGTCAAATGTCGGAAGATAACTTACACTTATAATCAACCTCCCACACAATAAATATATCGCAATATATATGGTTATTAATATTACTCTCAACTAAGAGTCTAATATAGGATAGCAATAGAGCAATTCCAATACTAGTGCTAATAAAAAGAACGCGGCTATAACCTACGAGTCCCTCTAGGCGACCATACGGTCCATCCAACCCCGTTAAGAACTCGCTTCTCGGATGATCTATTAGTCTTTACGTGAAGCCCCGTTCCTTACGTGCCAGCAGCGTGATGCTTTTAGCGTTTCCATTTATATCGTTCTCCCACCAGGATATCGGAAAGGAATATGTCTAGAGAGCACAGCGCAAGCTGACACTAGGCATCCAAATATAAACGCTCATTCTAGGTTGAATCCGGAATGGTCGGTTGATAGGGATCACGACTCGAACGGCATCAGTATGTTTCATCCGAATGATAACTACACGAGATACGACTTTTGCGTACTTGATATTCCGAATGAGAAGCAATGCCCATCGAAGTATAAAGAAGAGAGAAATAGCGACGCTAGGAACTAGGACTCCTAACTATAGGAAGTCCCTAGAATATATTAGGTGGCATAAAATAGTTATACCAACTAGAACGGCAGCAATTCCGTGCACTTTAGATAGTATCTCTATTACAAATCTCCGAAGGAGATAGGTGATCATAGTAAGAGCGATACCAGAAAATGCCTTTAGTGAATGTTAGTACGATATAGAAAGAATAATTGAATCTTCTTACTAGCAGCCTATAAAGTTACAGATTCCGCTTTAGGTACCACCCGGCTTGGTGTATTATAACGGACATATAAAGGATGCCTTATAGAGTGGACATTATACCTAAAGTCCTATATATACCCGTGAATGTTTGAATTGAAAGTCTAAAGATGTCGGCGAGAAAATTCAATCGATCACTAATAAGAAGGGGGAACAAGTTTATAATGGCCATATACCCTAACCGAATTCTGATATCAGTTAGGCTATACGTTTATATAAACGTGCTGACTATATTGCTAGACCAATAAATCAGCTGTAGGAGTAGCTAGGCTCTCGATCTTCTTCTCACAATAGGCGGATAGACGAGATACTTCAAGATGATCACTATTGCCTATTGCGCCGGAGCGGCTAGCGAAGTTCGGACGAAGTTGAAAGCGCGACTTGTATTAGCCCACAGCAAGAACAAGAGCAATAACCCCCCAACTATAGTGACATATAGAGTGGAGGGATCAGTTATCCTCATCCTATAAGTGAAAATGCTAGGTGTGGATAATGTTCTATCTAATTGAAGAAATTAGTATTAGGGTTCTTATAGACGTAAGAGCATATAGGTTTGGTGGACTATTAACTAGAAATAACCATATAGACTTAGTGGACTATAAACTAAAAATAAGCACGTATATACGTACACCCGTGGGCGATACGACAACAAGATAGTAAGTTATTTTTAGATGACCTAAAGTATATAATATACAAATCGCCACTAGAGACTTTTGATTCCATTAACCTGATCTACACGATGCCGCAACCTATAGATCGCTCCGGTGAAAGCCGCCGCCGAAAAACATGCTTTAGAAAGATTCGTCAGCTCTACGCTCTATATCGAATGAGAGCAATAGTGGTATTAGTTGATAAATCCGATCGATATTAGATATTCAAAACACATAATGATATTCCGGATTTAGAACAAGTAGGATCTAAACTCTTCATCCCTTCGTCTATCAATTAACCTTCATAGCAGGCTATACAGCATCCCCAGACTCACACCTATAACGATTTTAAGCCTTTGCCTCCTTCCAGCTAGCGGATTCCAGCTATACAGCCATCTCAACGCCGGATTACCATCCTAGCCCCACTAAGCTTTCGTCGTGACTGAGGTGGGGCTACCGTGGGCGAGCCGCTGAAAGACTGTCTTGTGGGCTGGTATTGATCCTAGGCGCTATTATATAAAGGATTGTTGTTTTACTCTACTATTCTATTCTATATAATACAATTTGATCATAACCTATCACTATCAAGTCTATAGTCCTATTCGTAATAGACGTCAACTAGCTAAAAGATGGTATACCAGTTAACCCACTAGATCATATCCTTCAGGATGGCGTGCATACGCTGAACACCGAGCGTCTTCCAATTTACTTGGAAGCTCCAACAAACGCGAATGCATGTCACTTTGGCGATCTCCAACAAGAAATCGTACGCCTTCGTCAAGAATTAGCCTGGCATCAGGAGGCAAAGGAAGCCCTCATAGGTCTTTTTAGGGACATAAGGGAGGTGTATCGCCTCCTTCAAAGGGCACTCCTCAATGCCAGGGTCCAGCATGGTGGGGACAGACCATTTTCAGAGCTAGTGAATGACGCGTAGGATGCCAGTTTCCTTATTCGACAATGTCTACAACGAGCATCGTAAAGACTTTCGGAGTCAGAGAGCCGTCTTCTCGAGGCCCTAGGTATCTCGTTAGATAATACAAATAGGAGAGACATCATAGTACTATAGGTCAAGCTGGTCACAATTTCATTTTTTTAACTTCATGCTATTTAAAAACTCGTGAATCCGCCTCTCCGTTTCTCCAAGGCACCGGCCAATGCTATAGGCCTTTTTGAGGTAAATAATAAAAGCCTGGCGTAAGCGACGGTTTTCAGACAGTAAAGTTGCCTCCCTATACTTATACATCTCGATCTCGGTTTCCAATTTTTGAATGGTGTGCATAGAGTCTTATAGTTGATTTTCAAGGTTATAGGTATCTGCTTCAAGGTCGTGGATACTTGTCCGCACTTCGGAAGGGCAAGGCGAGTGAGCTTCGTTGCGAACTGCTCGGATGCCTCCGCATTTTAACCCATTCGATAACTCAATATATATGTTCGTCGACATATCGCTAAGCTGCCTGTCGAACAAATGGCTGGTCGCACTGCTAAAAGCCCAAGCATATGCATCTTTTCCCGATGGGTGAAGGCGGACTTCTAACGGTCCCACGCACAACCCGAGTCGCTTATCTTTGTTTTTGATTTAGTAATGTCCTCCCCTTCCGTTTTCGCCGCGCATACTTACTGATATGGTCTGCCAGGTCTTCCCGACACCTCGTCCTTTCCAGAGCACGTTTTCTATTAGCTGGGTTTGACATATCATGCAGTGGAACGGCCTAAGTTCGGCAGTCTACGACTATATATCGGGTATTTCATGGACTAAATCGGCTCCCTGGTCGATCCTTGCCGAGGGCGGGCCGCCACGGAAATAGAAATGTGCCAAATGATAAGGCTCATCACAAAGTGGGGCGGGCCATCGTGGGCGGTTCGCCCACGCAGGCGGTGGTCACATTTATGGTTAAAGTTATTTATATCAATCAACCCACTACGACCTCGAAATAAGCTAATATTTCAGACATAATTTGTCTTACTTTTGATGTGCTACATCCTTATTGTGAGTTACTCACACACACTGCGAACTTGCTATTGCCGGGCTTTCAAGGCTATAAACTACAAGCTAGTGTGCTCTCTAAGGTGGGTAAATTCACAATCACTAGGGTTCGAGAAACAATCGAAAGTGTAAGGTGGTGGCACTAGTTTCGAGACGTACTATATTATGAACTAGTATAGTGCCATAGTTGAAATGTTGCGAATGTTAAAAGTAGAAAAGAAACATTTGCACATTTCCCACTTTTTATAAGTGATATTACTTACCTATATTTCTCTTAAAACCTCTTAAAGTTCTCTGCAAAATGGTGAATCCATTCTCAAGACATGATGCTGCTCTTCATTACTTTAGCCTACTTTCAAGTGTGTTCTCTAGCAGCTGGGAGTGCGGCTAGGAATGACATGCATGCGATAACACCGGGAAGCACCCCGGTGAGCACCACCGCAATTACCGCACCAACTACAAGCACCGCGACTCGATATACTGCGATTACAGTTTTGGAAAACACGTCTTCAGCCAGATATTTCCACAGTCATCTGACACAGCCCCACGGCGCCCCCCCATCTTCGACTGACTTTTTGTGGCATACCCCAACTACAAACACTAGAGCAAAAGGAAGCGTCAAGGCGACCCACCCAACAACCCACGGGAGCCATTTTCCCATCTCTACGCCTATTTCAACCCCTGCCACTCCCTCCATACCCACTCCCAAATCCCCAACGCCTATTTCCACCCCTGCCACTCCCACTCCCATATCCCCAACCCCGTCATCACCTGGATCGATTTCATCGATTGCCGCCTCAAACGGCACTGAATTAGCGCAAGTCCGGCTGCGAACAACATTGATAGTAGTGCTAGGGTGTATTTTCGCCATATTTGCGTTCTTCTGAGTGACAGCTAAGGGATGTATGAGGGCAGAACGGAGGGCGATTTTCGAGTAGTATAGTGAAATAAATAGATTGAGATGAACTTTCCTCGCCTTTGTACTAGGATGGATCGAAATCAGTTTCACCACTTGCACACAGAGATTCTAAACCCTCTTCTGAAACACGCTGTACTCTTACAGTTACTCTACCCCTGACCTCCTTTCTTGGCAGTATTCGAGTTCAGTTATAAATAATAGCACAAAAATAGCTTCCGTATTAGACTTTTATGGCTTTCGGCGCTTCTAGAATGTAGATCCTACAAACAAAGCGAACAAAAGTGTTACGTTGCCAGGGGGCACTTAATGCCACATTGCGAAGAGAAGTCTAGACGTTGATGGAGGACAGCTTTGGTAGGGGCGGTGGTCGAAGGGGGCACGGGGAGCGACTCTATCTGCTCACCATTGCTCACCCCTCTGCTTAGTTAGTAGGTGAAAAAATTCTGGGTGCAAAGTCCGGGGATGCTAGGTATTAGGAAATGCAGGTGACTTGGCGATCTCGCAGTTCCTGAGAGCTAGGCCGTCTAAAAGCTGCGGAGGTCAAAAAGGAGGTTGCCGGGGAAAATGACGTCATCCATCCATCCAACTGTAGTCACTATCATGGGTCTAGCGATGGTAGCAATGCAGGAAGTGGCAACATCGCTTACGATTTACGGATGCCTTATTCTCTGTCGCTCCCGCAGACTCGCACTCAACTCACCAGAATAAAATGGGCAATTAGGAATTCCACTAGATCAGAAGTTTAGCAACGCTTTGAATTGCAAATTTCCAACAACCTGGGAATCTTTCACCGCAGAGAACATGCCTTCCGTGACTCCAGTGTTAGGACTGTGGTGAAAAAGCTAGTTCACAAGTCCACGAGCCCTCAGGTTACAATAAACCCAAACAGGGCTTCTTGGGATGTCGGACGCATAACAGCGGAATCCTCGTGCAGTTAATCTTTGCCAAGGGTCTTCTCCTCTCGCTTTTGTGCTGCCGTATCAAAGATATTAACAAAAATACTCTCACACCTGAGTTGGTCGTTAAGGAGAAGTCGAAGACTGGGAGTTCTAAGTGGGCTTCGTAATATCTGCAATGATCTGGCATCTGCTATGTTCATCTATCTGAGAGCAGAGTCTGGGTGTATTCACTATTCGAAGATTCGATTTAGGCTTTGTTCTCGAGCAGTAGCTTCACCACTGCATCGTGCCCATTCTCGGCCGCGAATGAGAGCGGAGTTTGGCCATATTCATATTGAGAATCGACGACGGCCTTCCTCTCAAGTAGTAGCTTCACCACTACATCATGCCCATTGTCGGCCGCGCATAAGAGCGGAGTTTGGCCATATTGATCTTGAGAATCAACGACGGCATTCCTCTCGAGCAGTAGCTTCACCACTACATCGTGCCCATTCTCGGCCGCCCATGAGAGCGGAGTTCCGCCATCTTTGTCTTGAGAATCGACGACGGCATTCCTCTCGAGTAGTAGCTTCACCACTACATCGTACCCATTCTTAGCCGCCCATAAGAGCGGAGTTCCGCCATAATATTCCTCTTGAGAATCGACGACGGCATTCCTCTCGAGTAGTAGCTTCACCACTACATCGTGCCCATTGTCGGCCGCGCATAAGAGCGGAGTCCGGCCATATTCAGCTTGATAATCGACGACGGCATTCCTCTCAAGTAGTAGCTTCACCACTATATCGTGCCCATTCTCGGCCGCGAATGAGAGCGGAGTTCGGCCATATTCAGCTTGAGAATCGACGACGGCGTTCCTCTCGAGCAGTAGCTTCACCACTACATCGTGCCCATTCTCGGCCGCGTATGAGAGCGGAGTTCGGCCATATTCAGCTTGAAAATCGACGACGGCCTTCCTCTCAAGTAGTAGCTTCACCACTACATCGTGCCCATTTTTAGCCGCGTATGAGAGCGGAGTTCGGCCGTAATATTCATCTTGAGAATCGACGACGGCCTTCCTCTCAAGTAGTAGCTTCACCACTACCTCGTGCCCATTCTCGGCCGCGTATGAGAGCGGAGTTCGGCCATCATATTTATCTTGAGAATCGACATCGGCATTCCTCTCAAGTAGTAGCTTCACCACTACATCGTCCCCATTCTCGGCCGCCCATAAGAGCGGAGTTCGGCCATCATAGTTATCTTGAGAATCGACGATAGCATTCCTCTCCAGTAGTAGCTTCACCACTATATGGTGCCCATTCTGGGCCGCGCATGAGAGCGGAGTTCGGCCATATTCGGCTTGAGAATCGACGACGGCATTCCTCTCAAGTAGTAGCTTCACCACTACATCGTGCCCATTCTCGGCCGCACATAACAGCGGAGTTCGGCCGTAATATTCATCTTGAGAATCGACGACGGCATTCCTCTCAAGTAGTAGCTTCACCACTACATCGTGCCCATTCCCGGCCGCGAATGAGAGCGGAGTTCGGCCATATTTATCTTGAGAATCGACGATGGCATTCAGCTCAAGCATCTTTGATGTGGACGTCCCAAGTCCAAAGTATGCTGCAAGATGCAAACCTGTCATCTTCGTTTCAGGTCTGTTGAAATCAAACCGAAACCCGTCATATACCATAGCTTGGCTACAGGCAGATACTTTGAAGGTGTTCTGAAGAAGGTCCAATATCAGTGCGTCGTCCAGACTCAGGGAGTATCTGGCATGGTATCCCCAATTCTTCGCGGCATAGCCATAAAGCACAGTGGTCCGTAATCTCGCAAGCAAGCTACCATCCGTTGGGCAGCATCCGGCTTCAAAAACGTCAAATGACAAGCAGGTGACGCAGGATTTTGCAATTTCGGTGTGGGCAGTGGAAAACCAGTCCTGCCTGGTCCGCGCAAAATACTCCTGTGTGGTGTGGTGCACCAAACGTATGATGGTACTTTCATCATCGATAGTGATCAATCCCAAACAAACTGATACCATATCTTCGATATGTGGCAGGTCTCCTTCGTCAAACTGGAACTTTCCCTCCTTTATTGCCAGGGCATACTGAAGTTCTTGTATACTGAGCGGCCGCTTCGCATAGATGATCCATGACAAGACCTTCACTGCGAGTTGTCTCAAACCCGGCCGCTGTTGATCAATTCTCTCCATTACTTGATCATAGGCATGGCTCAATATCTCAGTCTTCTCGTCTTCGCTCGATCCTCGATCTTGCTTCCGAAAGCTTTTCAATGACGTCCGGATATCATTTGCGGTCAATTTGTCGTCGAGGAAACCAAGATAAATTTGTGCCAACAGAAACATTCCATCGACTGCATCTGAGATAGTAGTTTTAATCTCCTCCTGCAGTTGGCGATTCTCCAGGACACAAGGTCGTAGCTGTCCCATATGGCTTTCCAGGTACATCCCCACGTCCTCGTCGGTCGCACGGATCTCTAATGATAAGACGTCTTTGAATTGATCCATAATCTCTGATATGAATCGCGATGTCGCAAAGATATTTGCGCTGTGCCGTGTCTGAAGGTTGAAAAGCTCTGATACAAAATGCAGCCGGTCAGATGCCTGGCATTCGTCAAGTGCATCAACAATAATAAAGAGTTTTGAGAATGTCGCCGCTACGATGAGGAGAACGTTGGAAATCTCTTCGGCTGACGGTCGCGTTCCTCTGGCTTTATGGTACTTGTAGAGCTCTTTAACGCTATTTGGCAGAGGCTGGCACCGCCCAGCTAGCTGTTTTAGTAAGCCTTCCAGCAAATCGTTGATCTTCTGATCGTCCTGCCGCTTGAAGTTGCAGTACACATAAGCGATACCTATTGCCGGGTCTGCTTGAAACTCCTGGTCGAGATGGTCGACCACAATCGAGCTGATGATGGTTTTGCCAGCTCCGGGAATTCCGGGACAAAACATTGTCTGGTTCTTGATCGCCTTCCATATCTCAAACTGTGTCGACTCTAGAAGCCACTGGCCAGTTCCGCGTTGTCTTCTTCCTAAGAAATCGCTTTGTTGAGGGCCATAGTTGATCGGCGTAATCCAGTTGAGTATCTCAAGCTCTTCCTTTTGTTCTAAATGGCTGCTTATCTTTTTAATGTTTGCCCCAGACTGGGATACAGCGTTGAGAACTAAATCCATATTATTATAAGGCTATCAAAACTTAGTAAAAGATCTTAATGTTGACTAACCCTGCCCAAGTATTTCCTTCACTGGACGCTCTCCCTCAATATCAGTTGGTTGCAAGAATGCCAGAAATTCCTTTGCAAATGCTGCAGCAACAGCCGCAGCGTATTCCTGCCAATCTTTGTTCTTATGTGAGTCCGCGTAGTCGCAGATTCCTCGGATGATGATGCACGGGAAGTTGTTCATCAGCCCCGCCGCTTCCATTTCGATGCAAAGGAGATGACCACCAAGGTCTTCGTTGAGTTTGTTTCGGAAAGCAGCATCCTTGATGACCTGGTTCCCCGATGCGATCAGACCGAAGTGCACAGACATATCTCTCGGTTTCCTCCTCACGACCTGTGTCTTATCGCAGAATCGGCAGCTCTCTTCCTCGTCCTCATCTACATCGTCAACATTACAAGTATCATCGAGATCCAAGGCGCGCCTGCTTGCATGTCCATAATCTGCTTTGAATAATATATCCTGCAAATCAGACGGCAGGTACTTCGGTACAAGTCTCGGCCACCTCTCCCTCAATTCCTCCAAGTACTCCGGTATCTTGGAGCCAACCAAGTCGTGCTCCGTCTCCAACGCTGTCAGGGCCGTGAGCAGAGACGTGGGCGGATTGTTCAGGGACCCGGTCCGTTCGAAGCTGCCGCCTTCTTTGGCCTTGCCAAAGTCCCATTGGACCACACCAGGAAACTGGCCCAAGGGTGTGCTGACAACCACATCGCCAAGTCTCACCTTGGGTGGAATGCCGCCGCCGATACCCACCATCAGGCCGAATTTGATGGACGGAAAAGTCGAGACCATCCAGGCAGCAACGTTCGTTGCCGAATTGTTGCCAATCTGGCCTTTAGGGAGGCAAGCTATCACAACGTTGTGGTTGCCAACAGATCCAAGGGTGTAAGTATTGGGGTCATTCCGCGGCTTCGGGAGCCCGACGTGTCTTCGATCTAGCATGGCTGTCGCCGCGGTCTGCTCTTTTGGCAGAGCACATACCCACCCCACAACGTATTCCTTGTGAGTTCTGGGTTCGGTATCCATCTGCGCAGTCATTGTAAGAGGACTGGACTAGGGCTTTGGGCTACCGAAGGTCAATGTTGATATTAATCAGCCGTAGTCGATCCCGGTCGATCACGGGGCTCTAGTTTGATCCAAAGTAAAGAATAGTGACTCAAGGGCACGGTAAAGCCCTTGCACAGAGGGAGGTGACACCAAGCGAAAAGAAGGGAGAATTCTCCCAAAATTTCACTTCCATAGCTGGGTCATGGGCTGAGTGTATTCAGCCTCATGGGGTTTTGCCACGTCAGACCTGCATGCGGGGCTCTGAATTCACACGCCATAATCTGCAACCCCCAGCCCGGGTCACTTGAGTGTGCCCAACTGATGCCCGAATCCATGCGAAACCTGCCACTTTATCAACACCAGAGGTAATAAGATAAGATATCTGCGAGACCCATATGTGTAATACGGGTGGCAAGCACCATGATTATACTATGTACAAACTGAACAAAGGGGTATGGAATACAGGAGAGTTGTGGAGACGTGCCAGATAATAAAGACAAACAGTTCAAACAAGAGGATAAGTCAGCATCATTTGCTTGGTTATCTCCAACCAAGGTGTCTTGCTCACACGCTTGCTCACTCACTCCTAAATGACTCAAGCTATCTTCATCTCCCACGCTTTCTCTGTCCGTTCTACCATGAGGAACATGAACAAAAAGCAAAAACGTATGTTGGAGGTTATAGGTCAGGTGACTTCCTGACTCCCCTCCTGCAACTTTAGTGCTTGCTGGCTAGATGGGATTCTTTTTGTACCATTCGAGTGAACATACTGCCAAGATATTGAGGGTAAGCATAAAGATAAGTCTTCAAATGAGCGAGTTAAGTGGCTATGATATGCCAGTATCTTTGGTGGAAGTATTACAAGTAATTTATAGAACCTTCTATCACGTGGTATTCTCTTTCAATACGATTCTATACTTGAAACCGAGCTAAGTCTGAAATGGACTAGTGTATCTTGGGCCAGGGTTCGAGAAAGATCCTTTAAGAGCAAGGTGGTGAAACTGATTTCGATCCATCCTGTACCCTTTCGATTATGGCAATAATGAATGAGACTGACGATGAACTGATTCATTTAATTAGTGGCGCTAATACGAATATAATCGTGGGCGAATCGCCCACGATTCCGCTAGTAGTGCTAAAAATACAGCGAGCATGCAATCTCCCCCTTGTGGCTAACTACTCAGGAATGATTTAAGCTCTCTCCCCCCTGCACAGAGATAAAGAGAAAAAAAGAGATTAACTATGAGTGACAATCGGTGTACGCTGTTCCCAAGAGGTACGGATATTGCATCCGGAACTGGCCCCCAAAACCACAATCATGACGATAGCAGAGAAATAGAGAGCCACACTGACATTAATGACAATCGATGTACTGTTTTTCCGAGAAGTACGGAGATAGGCGACAGTGAATTTGATACCAGAAACATCAGTCAGTCCCAAAACAGGGAAGTGCGGCGCCTTAAAAAGCGTCATTTGCCAGAGCGGTGGCTCCAGCTTCCAGTCAAGAGGACCGCCAAGGCTGATGAGCCACGCCCCAAACGCCAAACGCCAGTATTTTGCAAGGACCACACGCCCTGGATGAAATATCAAAAGTTCAAAGAGGGAGCGAAGCCGGGGAAAACCTGCCTAGCCTATGTCACCGACTCCCCGGGGATGGTAGTTGCTATGAAGGAGTATAAGACTAGCGGTATCGACAAGACGCACCACCTAAAGATGATCAGTCACCCAAACATCGTGAATCTCCTTGATGCATTCGAACAGTCTAGGACTCTGTATTTAGCGTACGAGCTTATGGACCTCTCGTTGGAGCAACTTCAGTCTGGCATTCAACTAAAGGAGTCTGATCTTGCTTTTATTTGCAAAGAGGTGAGCTACAAAAGCATACTAAACATTTCTCTTACTTTCTCTTGCTTACCGATATCTATATAGCTCTTACATGGGCTTTGGTATATTCACCGAGACCTCGGTGTTTGCCATACCGCCCTCACTTTTGACAATATGTTCATATCATCGCAGGGTAGCGTGAAGATTGGTTAGTGATAGCAGTGAAGATGATAACTAAGACTAAATTTAAGCAGCGAATATAGCAGCCTGTCTGCTTAAACGACATCAAGGGTCCGAACAGTTTGATATTAGGTGTATTGGAATCATGATTTGCAAAATCCTCGAGCTAGGACTCTCTACTCATAATCTTTAGGCTTCTTATACCAGTCTCTCCCACGCTAGCGAAAGTCTACGTGCGTTTATTTCTACAACTGCGATAGCAACAATACAAGCGCTTTTATAGGTGTGTTATAGCAATAGGCTCCACTCATTATAATCACTAATTCCTTACTAGCATGTCTTTATATCATATACAACTACTAAAGGCTGCTTAGTTGTACCTATTATAAAGGTGCGAGGGCTAGTTCTATATGATTACGAATAGTGAACATATAATTAGAGCTTAAGCAATTCATTTATACAAATTAATACTATCAAGGAATTCAAAAATACCGTTCCGGACTCGAGACATAAGATTGCTACTCAGCCCTATTCGATCATGCCTTAGTCCGATTAAAATAAGCTTTTCACGCAACGCCGTCTCGTAGAGATTTCTAAAAAGGATCAAGTGTGGTCTATTACGGCCTATTAATATGAATATCTGGTTCTGTCGTGCCAGCAGCTGCGCCTTTCTATAAAAGAAATGGTTATCTTAAGGCATGCTTAATAGCTGCGCGTACTACCTATTTTGCCAGGAATAGAGCAGGATATCATCTATTTATAAAAGCACGTTATTGATGAAGTCTAAAGGTGCTGTCGAGGGGTCAAGTAACATTAACTAGTCATCCATAGCCCAAAAGTTTGATATGGTTGATATAGAGCGGGTTTCCTAGGAATCGGCTCTTGATTAATAAGCTTATAGCTGGCTGAGCGGATCGTCGCTCTCGACACTTTCACTCAAAGTCCACTCAACATCTCCACTCGAGTCATATTCGTTATATTCAGTGCTTTCTTAGGGCTTATTGTAATGTTCTTAGAGCCCATCCATATTTGTATAATTTCCTTCGTTTCCCTAAGACTACGTATCGTAGCTCTCGGACATATCGCCGTGCTAGTCATTTTTAGGGGAATTAGGGCTGGGCAAGAGGTCATCTTCCGATGCCTCGGAGTGTGGATTGATTTCGTGTGGATTAATTTCGCCGAAGAACGAGAGAAATATATCACGCTATATTGCGAAGGAGGTTGCATATGACCTTAGAACCACTTCTTATCGGTAGATATTTCCGAGAAACAAGAGCTATCGATCACTTAGGTACCTTTTGTAAGATAGTCGACTACAACGAAATTTCTTAGGTAGCTTTTCTAGGTCCGTGGTAAGCTGTGCTTCTTCTATAGACATCCGAATAGCCGAGGCGTTGCTAATTCTATCGGACACGTTCTAAGTAATACTCATATTAGTTTCGGTGTCAATGTTATACCGGTCCAGAGGCTGTAGCTAGCTAAGAAACTCTTCGGTGACGATTCGATATCGGTTTGCCCCAGCTTGTTCGTGTAAGGTTATGATCTCATTATTCTTGAATCCTAGTTTGACAGCTAACTAGGCCAGATTGATAAGTCTTTCTGACTCAACCCTAGATGGCTTAGCCTTCTCCTTCTTATCATCTTGATAGGGCCTAAGGCTAGTAAGGGACGGAAAGTCACGCATAACGGCAAGGAAAAGCTGTCGATAGCATATGTCTATACTATCCCGATCTTCGTCACGACGTTCAAATATGCCTTCGGCAACTTAAGCATTATATGAACCGGTTTGATCTGGCATATAACATTCCAAAAAGCCTTCGAACATAGTTCCCCTATACCCTTCAGGCTGCAACCCTTTGAGAGCGATTATATAGGCCTCGAAGTAGATGAAGTCTCTAGTGAAGGTAAAGAACGATAGTACCCTCCCACTAACCTATATAATTCTGTCTAATACCTAGGTACGATCTTCATCAGACTCTAGTTGCCGGAAGATCTTCCGTCTCCGCATTTTGTCCTAGATTACGGCCCTATCATGTAGAGATAGGCGAGGCGTAAGCGTCTCAAGCTTATTTACCGTATCAGGGTCTAGGAGATCTGGTGGGTAGCCCTCTATAATAAATGACCACTAATCGTGAACACGTCCTAAATATCGAGTAATCTCCTAGGTGCTAAAAATTAGTAGTGCCAAATTTGTATGACTAGACAAACTTGCCTCGGGACACTTCACTGATAGCCATCGGCCGAGATAGGACAGTTTAATGGCTTGCCATAAACCTAAGAAGGGCAATAACTTATCAAAAGCCCTTTTGATTCTCTTAAAATCTTTCTCCATTCGTGTAAGCTCATGATACACTCCTTTACTGAATCTGCCTCTCCATCTAAGCTCTGAATCGACATCTCCGATTCTTTCGTAGTGCCGTACATTCCGGTAAATGTCACCATCACAATATGGCTGGTCATTTGGATGCTCATCTCTGATCCACTGTTTTATTTCTGGCCTCATATCTTCGTAGTGTTAGCAATTGTACGTATGAAAGTGAGATAGAAGGTTTTACCATCACTATAAAATTCAGCCACCCACCACCGTGCAGACCTCTTGATTGCAGCCAGAACCCGGTGATTTCCATGCAAAATATTGAGCCGCACTTCATTTGGGAGGTTTAAAAAGTGCAGTGGGCCATGTAGGAAGGCCCCAGTTTCATTCTGGGCAGCTAGAGCTTGCTGCAGAACATCATTGCTTATTGAGACCTTCACGTAATTATCAGGGTTCAAGCGAGAAAGCCCCTCCGACTGAAAGACCCTGTCCAGCCGGTCCACATGTGAATCTCGAATAGTTCGAGGTCCCAAATTATCTATTTGGAAATGGTGCAAGTATATCTTCGCTCTTCCTTTGTAGCAGTTCTGCCGCTCCTGGAACACATCTTCGGACATGATAAAATTTCCGAGACGAGAAGATAATGACAGTTGAATTTTAAAGAGCTTGAATTTCAAAGGAGCTTGAATAAAGGATCCCTTTAAACTTTTGTGTTTGGAATATTCGACTATCTGGGAAATTGGAGCGCGCAAATTTTAAAGAGGCGGTATTATTCCAGTGATGGGAAAATTCATGTCTCGAAACTTTCAAGTGCTGAGAATATTCAAGTGATGGTAAAATTCATGGCTCGAAATTTTCGAGCGCTGAGAATTTTCCATTATCCTAGATATTGTGCACCAATAATTTTCTACTCGGGCGGTGTTAACCGGATATAGGGAATTGACGTACTGGTACTAAGGCGCAAAAGCGCAAAAGCGCAATGATACACAATGTTATGGACACAAACCCCACAGTTGCACGGACGGGCTGCCGAGAGCCAATCAACCAGCCTACCTATCCTCGGAACACGTGCAACAACATACATTGAGAAATTGCCTATTCAGGAGGGTTATTTTCTTGCCCTCCGAGGGCGACCCTCCAAATATTTTGAGGGCTGACAAACATGACAAAAATGGAAATACTTTCTTAATTTTTATACTACTAAGCTGTAAACAGAATACTGAATAATACCGCCGAAACCTGCATACTTTATGCATCTAAGCAGATTTGCTGCCAGGAGAGAATCACTTTAATAGGTAAAATATCTTCTATTTTAAACAAGTATCAAAGCGGACCCAGGTCCGGTTTTTGTGCACAAAACTCCTCATTAAGATTCCAGATAACCAGTAAGGTCAGGCACGTTCTCTTCAGGCAGATCAAAAGAGTTAGAAGCGAGATCCGAAAAGGCATCTCCGTAGAGAGAGAGACACGTCTACTCGAGGTCGTCCATATCTTCACTCCCATCCACTTCATTACTCGCAGTGCAGCTCTTCCACCAAATTCGCGCACTCAAATAGACTGACTTTTGTCGAAGCACCAGCACCAGCACCAGCACCAGCACCAGCTTCGCCATCGCCAGCTTCGCCATCGCCAGGAGCCGGAGCATTCGTAGTATGCTGGAATTCTGGCCAGTAGACCCCGTCTTGAATAAACGCCGGAGTAGTATCGAGATTCAATTCTCTCCGCAGGAAGTAAGAATTCTCAGCAAATGCCTCTTTTTTAGCAGCGATAAGGTTCTCAAAGGCAGCGTAGTAAAGCTGCTAGGCGTTCCTTTTCTATGCTTGTAGATAGATCCATACTACCTTATCATCCTCTCCGAATAAGATATCTAGTTCTCTCCGTATATCCACTCCGTTCCACCTAATTTGGCCAATTAGCGTATTAGAAGTAGCACTAAGGTGTCCTAGTCGTATAGCCGTAGGGAAAACTTTATCTAGTCGTCCTCCGTAAGTGCTATTCGCTAGGTCGGATGGGGTTTTCGTGCTAGAATAGAAGTCGCGATAGTAGCGAGAGAGATCATCCTAAGTACTAGATTCGGCTATATCTAGAGTTTAGTGGTTAGCTCCGACACTTATAAACTAAGGAAGGATATTTATACGATAAGAGGTGGCTAGGCTAGTAGAACCGTAAGGAAGGGTAGGCAAACTTAGTCACACGTCCCTTAACTAGTATATTTGCTTAGTCTAGCTATACTCGAAATAGATAGCGTAAGTCTCAGCAAAGCTTCCTTAGGGATCCAGCAATGAAGAAGGCACCAGAAACGTACCCTCCTCAAAGCCTCATCGCCCGCTCCTCCCTCACGAATTGCAATTCGATTCGACCTTCGGAAAACAAAGCGATACCCCTTGTTGAAATTATCTAGAGCAAACCGCGTTGGCGTTAGCGGCGTCCAGTGTCTTCTTGATTTGAAACTACATATATTTGTTGTGTTGGCTATTGCAGCCTGGTTCCACCATGGGTTCTTGAAATTTATCATTATTATTGAGTATTAAAATGTCAGCAATTAAGGAAGTTGGGGTCTCAAAGTGCGATCAACCAGGGTACTGGATGGCTTGATATATTTCTTGAGGCAGACTATCCCATTCCAGATTCTTAATCCGCCGCCCTTCTCCAAAAGTCACTATCATTGTCAATATCGTAGTCATCATCATCGTCATCATCATAAAGATACTCATCATCAAAATCATCCCCAGATCTGTCGACGTCCCATTCCTCTACTTCCACTGGCTCCACCACCTTAAGTATCCATCCATGACTCTCCATTTTCTTCCGAATATCTGAGCCTGGGCCTTCCTCGTAGACCTCGACGACGATTTCTTGGAGAGACGAAATTGCTCTGAAGCGAGCAGCAATCAGCGCTAACGCCCTCGCACAAATCGAAGGGCTGTTAAATGAATCTAGCCGGTTTTCTATAGTATTTGTGCTCTTCGGGGCTGTTATGAGCTTTCTTAGATTGGTGCAGTGTGACTGGATCTTTTCCAGCATATGAAGGCTATCTTCCAGGCTGACTTCGTCTTCGAGATCACAAAGTCTTGGAAAGTCGATGCGGATACACTGAAGGTGAGATGCGTTGATAAAGCCAATAGTATCAAGAAATTCGGGTATAAGTCCGGGCTCCCATGTGAGGTCAAAGCAATTATGGCCATAGAGTAGTGACCTGGCCTCATGTAGGATTGCCGTATTCGTGGAGAGGAGGTTGAGATCTAGCTCATGATCCCCATTCTAGGGATCAATAGGCTCTTTGCGCACTAAGAGATATATGTATATCTCGTTGCGAAGTTCAACAGGAAGACCTAGGAAGTTCGCTGGCATCTCTCCGATTGCAATCCTGCAACTGTTCGATAGTATGTTAGTTCAAGATGTCATTGACGAAGCGGGGTTCACGGAAGTCACGAGTTCACGTCAATCACGTGCACAAGGAAAATGTCTAAAAGATATCGTTGGTTCCACAGTCCTTAACACGTCATACATTCAGCCGCTCAAGATGCTAGTGCGGTGGAGATACCTTTGCAACCCGGCGCATGACGACATGGCCTCATAGGCTATGCCCCTCTTCAAAAGGTGACGGAGATACATTAGTCGTTTACTTTAGCCTATCACGAAGCCACTGAAGTTTACTAGGGGGTGTGATTCAGATTAAAAAGTCAGCCAGCTACCACCCTTTCTTTCTTTCTTTTTTTTTTTGGAAGCTCATCTCCTCTCCAACTAGCGCATCTATTCCATGCTAATAATATATCAAAACATCGTTGACATTATAACTGAACGATAATTCTAGAAGGTTCGTCTCTGCAGCTACTTGAAGCCAAAAACAAACGCAGCCTGTGTTTTCTGACTAAGTACAGGATCGCAGACCTTCGGAGGGCAAGAAAAGAGCAGTAAGGATAATTCAGCAGTCGAGATAGGGCGATGCTAATCATATCAGATGTGCGATAATGTACGGGGAATCTTTGGATTGTGCGGTCACGAGGCAACTGTGTATATCGCGAGATGTGGGCCTGCTATTCAAAACCAAGTAACTTGTCCTCCTCATGAGCGTGAGGACGTCCACGACTGGCAAGAGGATAAGGACAGCGAAGACTGCCCTGCATGTAAGGGGGAAACGCCGCCGGAAACACCCTAAATATAACAAGCGAGGTGTTACGACATTTTGTTTATCCCTTCTCATTATTGATCTCTTCCCGTAGATTTTCAACAATCTTTTGCTCCTCCTTACCTCCCCAAGTGTATGAGACAGCCCTGTCCTTTGCCTTTTCGGCCCATCGATGGCGGGGGATAAAGGACCTGTGTAGTCAGAAAGGGTGTGGTCAGAAAGGGTGTGCAATATAAAAAACCTTCTCTGGGCGTCTCACAATTTGCCACTCTGTTGACTTGCAAGGTATACCTGATGGGGAAGTTGCAACACATCTTCCTGGTTCAGTAGTTGAGTGACATCCAAATCAAGAATAAACCATCGTTTAAGAGGCTTCTGTGAGTCGAAATCAGCGGGAATATGGACGTGGTCGTACCCCGCTGGATGAAGCGCAGCGTTGAATGCACGATGTAAGACTGTTTCGCAGAAATCTTCCCCGATTTGGACATGGCGCCTTTGGGGGCAACCGTCTATATCGGTTACGCAAGCATAGATGATTATTCTGGTGGGATGAGTGTCCATATTGTCTGAATGATAAGAAGACGAGTAGTCGTGCCGCATTATGTTATTTAACTGAGGAGATTGAGCGGTCAAGGGTCTCGGTCCCGGATTAATAGGAAAGCCGATCCTACGCCGACAGAACCTTAGGTATCGATGGGAGCGGGAGACTGAATATTGTTTGCCTGGGAAACGTGGTAGAAAGTATAGTTAGTTACATTGACACGGGAAGAACATCCAAGTCCAAGAAAATATGCAAATCCAACAACGGAGGGCGCTGTGGCCTAGAACAAAATCCCCTAGTCGCATATCTCTATCTTCATTAGCAATAAAGGAGAGAAGAGAAATTTCTGAGAAGTCTAGGGAGAGTGTCGATTGACTGAGCTAAGAAGGAAGCATAGAGCTAAGTCTTCCACCTTCACCGTAAGTCCGGAATAATCTCCCCGGCCTTCTTGACTTTTTTTTTGCGGCGATGCTCGATTCTACCGGTCCACTTTTCTATTAAGATGCCTAAAACTGGTGATATAGTTAGTAGGATCAAGCAAGCCCCACACCTATAAATACTCGTCCGACGTAGACGTCGGTCCTCCTGATATTTTCTAGCTAACGGTCATTGTAGGTCCTATCAGCGAAAGTACTTCGGCTCACCTTGCATATAGATCCTATTCCAAAAAAGGGACTTCACTAGCTAGTAGCTCCTGAACTTTTTCCGCCGTCAAACAGTGAAAGACTTCCATGATTGCGTATGCAGTAAAAGTCAGTTCCTACTCAAAGAAGTCTTGCTTGGCTTGCATCCGTGGCCCTAAACCCGAACGGGCAAAATAGAGTCTAGACCTACTCCATAGAAGAAGAAAGAAGATCGAACATGTCGGGTTCAATGCGCTGCACAAAGCTATCTTTCGTATACCCTCTATCAATTAGTCGTTTATGCCATGCGCTGATATCCCGATG